CCTTAGAGAAAATTTTTTGGAAATACGAACAGCTCCAGATGAGAAAAATGATTTTGACGAAAAACCCCAGCTCCCTATCTCATCTTTTTTCTTTTTCTCTAGAACCGATTCGACATATAATGAATATATTGCGTATCTCACCACAGCAGGTACTGCACAGATTAATAGTGTTAACCAAGTTTAAATGCTCCATTGAAAAAATCCTACTTTACCTAAAATCATAATTTTTATCCAAATTTTCACAGAAACTTTTGTCGGGGTGATGAGAAGTGTCTTTCGTACAGTTTAGAGTTTGTCGGAAAATGCTGCTAGCTTTTTAATGCAATAGAGTTGTACTATATCGCGTTTCGACTAGAAACGTGTGCTCTACAAATCTATAGATCACTCCAACATTTAATGCATAAGTACCCGAGAAAAAACTGATATTTGTTGTTGTATTACGAGGTCCATAGCAAACTTGATCAAAATCATCTCCGAAGGCTTAATACTCTGCACGTCTGACACTAGACACTTTACGCTATCTGATTATGCATTTATCTTGAAACCAACTTTTTTATACGAGGGGTGTCTTAAATGGTTTTCCACCCTCGTAAATTGAAAACTACATAGATGCGTTAAGAGTAAACTGCAGAAGCAAATTATTACGATTAAATCAATAATTCGTATTAATAATAAAGCTTTATTTGTGAGATTTGCTCTTAGTATGACGCATCTCGACCAATGCACATACCTTTGATTTTGCATCTCAAAAATAGTGAGATGAGTATCATACTCATTGATCAAGAAAAAAGTGCCCATTTGTCTATTGTTGCAACAGTAGACTCTATTTTTTTATTCTATTTTATGTTAAGTAAAAAATGTCGAGGACATTTCGGATAGTGTGTCGCTTGCATTCTATCACGAATGCTTTAATGGGCTCGATGATGATGATTAATGTTGCCAAATTATCTGACATGACTCATGGAAAAGAAACAACAAAAGCTTTATTTCTAAACGATGATGATGCAAAATCTCAGCTGATTCAAACATCTGAATCATTAGTCGGGCTTTTATTAGTCATGATTAGTATTATCCTGTTGATGGTATCAACCGTTGATCAGATTCAATTTCAACGGTAGGCTCTCGATTTTTGTGCCAAACCAGACACGTTCGTTGCTAGAAAAAAATTGTTGAAACATCACCGTTCTAAACTTTTTGTTTCATTCGCCTACAAACCGAGGATCCAGAGCAGTTTTTCTTTGATAGAGAAGAGACGCTGTTCTTTGATTAGTGTGATTGTATCCATTACTGTTTTATTTAGTGTTCTGTTGATTTCTGTTTAGATTATTTTGCAAAGGATGTATTCTAATTCATATCATGTTTATTACATGGCGTATTTTAATTGAATCAAAAGTTGAAGCATTAAAGAAAGATGTTAAAGTACAAATATTTACAGATATCTTAATGGGAATTAGTTGGATGGTGGTTTTAATCGTTTTGTGGAGAAAAAAATTACAATAATCAAAGTTTTAGAACAATTTTTATATACAATAATTAAAAACAAGACGATTTCTTCTTTTATACAAAATAAAACTGTAGAATAAAAACGAGTCTTTTATACTGTCTATTAATTATTTAATTTCTATAAATGCTCTATCAGTATGATGAAAATAATTTTTTGTATATTTCTAAAAAACTGAAGATATAATCGATGTATATAACTACTTAATGTAAGTACTTAAATTAATATTTTTACAGATTAGTTGAACTGTTAGTAGACTGAGCCTCTGTGTCAGATAAGATTCTTACAAGAACAGTAATAAGCCTCGACGAAGACATTCATTAGAAAAATTTTGTTTTCACAGTTTTACGATTTTGGGTTAAATATATTTTGTATAATTCCTTGAACAGTGTTAAGGTTGAATTGTGTTGTATAGAAATATTGACAAATAAATTACTGTTTTCCTCTATGGATTATCATTAGAATAGATAATACAAGCATCCTTTTGAGAATACTATTTTCGATACAGTTCATTGCTTTTGGCATTAAACGAAGGATGTCTGCGCATAAAAGTAAGAATATTATATTCATATATTACTGTTACTTTCCTGAGAGAAGAGTATGTTTCCTCATTACTGGAAAGACATGTTGATTGTTGATCACCTTAGTTCACCACGTTCATTATCGCCTCCAAGACGAAGATTAGAACCAATAATAAACACATCACCAATACCATTTCGAAAAAATTATCATGTCTACAAGTGAGTATATTAAAACTTCTAGCTTTAATCTTATCGGGCATGAAATACTTAAATAAAACGCTAAACGCAATAAAAAAACAACATATACTCAATTTTTTAACTCAGAATAATACGTTCTCTTTTTCAGAACTATATTTAACGCTTTAGTCTAGAACAAGGATGACTTATTGATAAATCTTCGTTGAATTTTCTGTATTCCACTAAAATGTATTTTACGCTCGCTACTGCCATTCACTCTCTTCTAACATGTTTAATCGGATTCTAATAAAACGACTTATAGCTAATTACTCAATAATGTTGAATAATCAATGCGTACGAATATGTTTTATAATTCGATTTCATACATTCCAAGACATCACATTTGATGTTTTAAAAATAAACATTCAAATATTTTTCAGTTATTTTTCATCAGACGATTGTTATACGTGTATTTTGAAGACTTTTTTTTCTTCTTTAGTTATTCCGTTTTATATAATTAGTTTACGTGTGAAACATTTGTCAGACGTGAACAGCAGATGCTCTCGGTTTATAATTTTGACATAGAGCACGTTAAGCTGATAAATCGTTCTTTTATCTTCGTCTCTGTTAGTACTGATCCATGTTACGTATTCTCTCCTTTTGTCTGTTAATCGATTATTCAAGTCTATGTTGCGACAGTTTTATTTTAAACTTTTTTTTTTTTTTTTTTTTTTTTTTTTTGGTTGAAGTGCCCTTCCTTTTGGAAAGAGAAAAAAGGATTGTTACCTTTTTTTTTTTTGATTTATTTGTTTTTTGTGGGGGCTCATG